TTGGACCGTGTGATGGACTGGTGGGTGCAGGGGATGGGTTTTCCCAGATGTGCCAATAGGACCTTCTTCAATAAATTCTTACTTGGATGAACTTTGTTTCTGAGTGCTGAATGAGAATGGGGAGTTTCATTGGAAGGCTGACACCTTGGCTATCTCCTTCCACAGCCAGCCCCTGGTTGACGTCACTCAGAAGCCCAACAGCACCCACTTGGACCAATATCTCTATCGTTTCCGGACCACCAACCTCAATCAGATGGTTCAGGCGGCCTTGAAGATGAAGCACGAAGACTCTGACCTTCAGATGGTTTTGGATCAGGCTGAAGATTGGCTCTCTCGATTAAAATCCATGGTGGAGGAGGTAGATGTAGTTATCAACATGCAAAAGGGGATTGAGCTCTTCCGTCTCTTCTGAACCACTGAGCCATTTTTTTATGTCTAGGGAACGACCAAAGGGGTCCCTATTTTTCTACTTGCATTTTTTACATGTTTTCGAACTGCTAGGTTGGCAGAAGCTGGGACAAGTAACAGGAGCTCGCTCTGTTACGCGGTGCTAGGGATTCGAACCGCCAAAATGCCAACATTTTGATCGACTAGCTCAGCGTCTTAGCCACTGAGCCACTGCATCCCACTATGTATGTACAGATAGTGCTAAAACCTCACAATCTTGTGGGATCACATTATTAGTTGTCCAAGGCCAGATTCAGCCTGTGGGTCACAGGTTGGACACACCTGTTGTAAATTCATGTTGAATTCCATTTATTCACTACAGCCCACGCACAGCTTTGTGAACCCGCTTGCTGTCCTCTGAAGTTTTAGCCACCCTCCCAGCTGTGGGTCACCTGCACCTTGAGGAGTGGTCCTTCAACCTCCCCATCCAAGTCATGGATAAGACCAACACAAGGTCCAAGAGAGGCCCCATGGCCCTCCCCTCCATCCTTCCTTCCAAACCGGGGTGGAGAACATTTGGTAGCACTCCTCGTGTGTTGCCATGCAGCCAACCGAGAGTCCAATCAAGTGTGGCACCATCTAACCCAGGAAGTCAGCAACCCGCGGCTCTGGAGCCACATGTGGCTCTTTCATCCCTCTGCTGCAGCTCTAAATATGTGTCACAACTGCCAATGTGTGTGACACCTTCCGGCATGTGATTTATTGAGCTTTTCGACTCCCGGTAGGCCAACCCTGAGTAAATCCAAGAAAAGAAAAGTTTCAGAAGAAAACAGAAGGTTTAATTCAACTACATATGCTGGTTTTGTGGCCACTCAGGAAATAGACAGGCACGGGAAAAGTTTTGTGGCTCCCGGTGTTTTCTTTTCTGTGGGAAACAGGTTCCAATGGCTCTTTGAGTGTTTAAGGTTGCCGATCCTTGGTCTAACCCAACTTTTACCATTTTATGAAGGAGATTCTTTCGACTAAGGTTTTTAGTGAGGCCCAGATCTACTCTGTTCCTTGATCTACTCAGCTCACCGGTAGGCTTCCTCTGGCCAAAGAGGACCTTTTCCTAAAGTCTGTTAACCCTTTTCCTTGCCAGCCCCAGAACAGCCTCCCGGATGTCGTGATCTGGATGCTCCAAGGTGACCGGCGGGTGGCTTACGCCCGCCTGCCTGCCCGAGAAGTCCTGTTCTCCCGCAACGGAGTCAGCTGCTGTGGCAAAAACTGTGGAAGGCTCCAGACCATATTCTTAAAAGTAAGTTTCCTCAGGGCTGGGTGGGATTTGGACTTTTTGACCGGGGTGGGTGGGGAGGATACATGGGATAAAATGGTCAGGAGTACTTTCAAGTCAAGCAACACCTCTTCTTTGGGGAGCTGTGGTCTTCAAACAGTTCTGGGCAAATGATTTGGGGCAATCTAAACGCAAAGCACTGAATGGAGTCACGAGACTGTTCTTGGCTTGTTTGATATTGATTGATTGATTGATTGATTGATTAATTCATTCATTCATCCATTTGCTGCCCTCTTACTCTCTTAGGTTATGGTTGCCCTGATGAGTGCTCCTGGCACCAGCATGGTATATATAAGTGGAACTCTATAAAAATGCAAGATCTTTAGGCCCAATTCAACCCTCCGAAATTTCAATTCTCCCATTCCTCCCACTGCCCTGAAATGACCTCCTGGTGATAGTCCTTTCAGCCTGTCCTATTGACTTAGTTGGTTTGATCGCCTGAAAGAAGAATTAGAATCAGAATCAGAGCTGGGAGGGAGGTCATCTAGTCCAACCCCCTATTCAAGCAGGAGACCCTATAGCATTTCTGACAAATGACTGTCCAACTTCTTAAAAACCTCCAGCGTTGGAGCAGCCACAACTTCTGGTGGCAAGTTGTTCCACGGGTTAATTGTTCTCACCATTACGCAGTTTCTCCTTAGTTCCCGGTTGCTTCTCTCTTTGATCTGTTTCCATCGATTGTTCCTTCTCCTGCCTTCTGGTGCTTTGGAGAAGAAGCGAAGGGCTGCCTTCGGAAGCCCTGCCAGGCTGCTGACCACCCGTAGCTCTGAGCCTTCTTCCTTTGCCCCACCCTAGTGTCCGCAGGAAGAGGTCCCAGGTCCCAGGATCCCAGCTCAGATCCGGGTCCGGCTGTGGCTGGGACTAGCAGTGGACGAGAAGGAGTTCAACCAGACGGCCGAAGGGAGGCTGTCTGTCTTTGCTGAAACGGTGAGCCAGATCTGATCTTCTCTAATGGGGTTGGATGGGGAACTGGATTGCTGGTTCTGCAATTCAAGTGGGGAAGAGTGGATACCCCTTTGCATTGGAACCTGAACTGGGCAGAGACCTTTCCATTCAGGACTGGAAAAGGGCTTGAATATTAATTTCCTGTTGCTCTGACTCTACTTTATGCTTCTATCCTGGAGAGAGAAAGTACTTCTTCTTCTTCTTCTTCTTCTTCTTCTTCTTCTTCTTCTTCTTCTTCTTCTTCTTCTTCTTCTTCTTCTTCTTCTTCTTCTTCTTCTTCTTCTTCTTCTTCTTCTTCTTCTTCTTCCTCTTCCTCCTCCTCCTCCTCCTCCTCCTCCTCCTCCTCCTCCTCCTCCTCCTCCTCCTCTTCTCCTTCTTCTTCT